TTCTCTCCACCTCCCCCCCCCCCAATTCAATGGATTCCTCAGGTAAGGATTAAAAAAAATAAAAAGATGACTCCAAGAAAGCCTAAAAGAAATGGAGTAATTAAGCAAAATGATTTGCGGCTGGACCTCAGGGAGACCTTTCGCAGTACAGGATTATTAAATGTTGGAATTTGTCACACTAAGGATGACAGGTAGCTCATTCTGTAGACCAGAGTGTCTCACATTTGAACAGGCAGGCAGCACAGTCACCTGGAGGCCTTGTAAAAATAACCCAGCCGCCAGGCCCCAGCCCCGGAGTTTCTTATTCTACAGGCGGGGTTCAAGAATTTGCATTTCTAACATGTTTCCTGGTGATGCTGTTACTTTGAGAACCACTGTTCTAGAACCTTGTCACTCAAACAGTGGTCCAGTAACCAGCAGCATCAACGTCACCAGAGACCCTATTAGAAATGCAGATCTCAGGCCCCGCCCCACCTACTAATTCTAAAATTTATCTTTAAAAGACCCCCAGGGGACTGGTGTGCACACCGAAATTTGAGAAACACTCCTCTAGAAGTCTTTGGTGGTTGCAGCCTGGTTTCTAGTGTTAGGAGGAAGGGGTGGAAAATATCACATGAGTAGATTCCCATGGTTCTATGACTACCAGTAAGACTTTGTAACAAATTTAATTTTGTTAAAAGCATTGTCCCCAAATTTCCATCCCCTGCCTCAGGAAGAATAGTCCAGCCTCCTCAGTTGCAGTCTAGTAATGTTGCTGCAGCCACATGGCTAAGGAACATCTATAACTAACTCCAAAATACTCATTTAGCCAGAGTTGCTAATAAGAAAGAGTAGTGATCCTAACTCGATTGCTCCTTGAACCACTAAAAGGAAATCAGTCTCTGAACCCGGCTATAGAGTTCCAACTTGCTATGAATAATTAGATTGTCTTTCATGAATAAACCAAGGAGCAGCGTCCCTCGTCTCTGTCTTGAGCTAACTGTGGGTCAGAGGTGACGAAACCAACCTCAAGAAGCACATGTGCTCTGAAAGGTAAAGCGATAGGAGCTCATTATTTCTACCCTCAAAGTTACCCTTGAACAAATTGTTTGTCCTGGTTCCCACCTTCTGGCCGCGCCTCATTGCCTTGGGCACAACTGCAGCCCCGCCGGCCCTACCTGAGACCCTCTCCCAGCTCTGCGCAAGCCAGCCAAGCATTTGCTAAAGAGGGTTTATAATGAGGTTCGTGTGTCCACGGCCGGCACACGGCAGCTGCTGGTAAACATTAGCTCTCTCCCCAAAGCCTGAAACAAACTAATATTTGGATTTGAGTAGAGTCTTTTCAAAACAGTCTTCAGAACATTGCTTCATCTATTAGGTAAAATTCCAAACATTAGGTTAGGCCAGTGATTTTCAACCTTTTTTATCTCAGGCACACATAGACTAATTACTAAAATTCTGTGGCACATCAAAAAATGTATTTTTTGCCAATCTGACAGAAAAAAAAAAAAAACAGGTAGAATTTGGATTTATTCACACCGGATGGCCATTGTTGTTCTGACTGTTGTCGTTTTTTTATTTGACCATCTGAGGGAAAAGAGGCCAGCGCCCCTGACTAAACAGTCAGGTGCTGCATGTTTTAAACATTCTTGGGGCACCCCTGTTGAAAATGGCTGGGTCAGGCAATGAAGTGAGAGCTTTCTCACAGGGTGACTCTGCATGGTACCCCTCAGCTCCCACTGGGGAGGCAATAAGGCCAGGCCTGTGAGCCAGATCTCTTTAGGTCTTGCCAACAGTATATTTCTGAGAGGGATCTCTAGAGTTTAGATCTTTGGCCGAGCTACAAAGAGTCCGAGAGCCGACTTTTCCATGACGTGCTTCGGGCCAGCTTGTTTAGAATGCATCACGAGAGACCCAGTGGAGAGCAGGATGCTGGGGTGGGGATGCTGGAGCAAAGCCTGGACATTCCTGCCAAACTAGGAGAGGGGTCTTTCCCAGGTCATGGCTCTGAGCCCAGCATCCTCCCACCCCCTTCCCTCCACCTAGAGCGCAGCCAGCCATGGTACTAACACGTCTTGCCTCCTTCTCTGAGTGGGCCCTGGCTTCCATGTGGGCGAAGCCCTGCTCAGTTTGTAGCCTCTCTGGCCAAACTCCAGGGTGGACATATCTCAAAGGCAACATTTGCAAAAGTGGCCGTTAGTGGCACTGCCAGGGGGAACAAGAATCTTTTGGTGTTAGAAGCCTGGTCCTCAGCAGGATAAACCCCCCGAGTTCTCTACTCACAAGCCCTGTAGGTACAGCATGTGGACAAGCACAGAATGCGCTCTGTTACTGTGAAACCACAGCCCACAGCAGCTCAGCTGTCACCAGTGACCATAAGAACGTGGGAACAGGAAGGCCATCAGCTGTACCCTCAGCCAGGGCTGCACCCTTCAGCTGGGGCTGCACACTGCATGTCTTCACTGGCCCTGATTTCTGAAGCCCCTTTTCCCCAATGGGCTGAAGAAACATGGGACAGTCAGGGAGGCAAGTACAGCCGGCATTCATTAACGCAACCCAGGGTCTACTTGGAAGGACTCCCGTCGTCCCCTTTGCTATTGGCTCAGCCCGTGGGGCCATCTGGAGCACAGAACCTGGCATCAATCCTCTATGGAAAGTTTGCCTAAAACTTCAAAATAAGTGTTTTTCCTCAATGAGCAGCTCGCCCTTTCTTGCTCTCATGCATCTTACTGTAGTTTTACAAGTGTACAAATTGGGGGTTAGGTAGCATTTGCCCACATGACATGTTATTGGTAAAAGTAACCTTAGGACACAATCTTACTTCTCCCCAGATTATGAAAAATGGTCCTGTAGGGACACTGATTCAAAGTTTCAGTCAGGACCATGTAAACATTTGGGTCTCATTACGACTCAGCTTAGAAAAAGTTCGTTTCAGGGCCAGCCCTGACATCTGAGGACAGCGACACTGCAGCCGTCCTTGGCGTGGGATGCAGGATGGGCTCTTGACCACTAAAGGGCTGACTATGTCCAACACTCTGTTCTAAGTGGTGTGCAAATATTAATACATTTTATACCTGTAAGAGTCCTATGAGGCCAGCATTGTTATCAACTTCCTTTTATAGGTAAGGAAACTGAGGCAGAGAGAACTTACCTGAGATTATATGGTAGCCACAGGCAGGGCTGAGATTTGCACCTAGAGAATGCACCTCCCTAGCCCATGCTCTTAAGCACTGTGCTGCAATCCCATCCTGGGTCTGTTGCCCAGATTTTCCAAACCAAGCCTGACAAATATGAGTGTATTTAGGGGAAAACATGAAAATGAGACCTGTGCTGAAAATCTGGGCTAAGTGTCACTAAACCCAAGACGACTTGGAAGTAGAATCCTACTTCCACTTGACCGCGGGTACAGGGGTAAGAGGGGTGGAGGGAGTGCGCAATGCAGCCGTCCTTGCCACCCCAAGTGTGATCCCTGGACCGGCAGTGTCAGTGTCAGCGTGATCTGGAAACTGGGCTTCATCCCAGACCTGCTGCTGAATAAGAATCTGCGCTTTAACAAGACCCCAGGGGATTCAAAAGTGCATAAAGTCTGAGGAGGGCAGGCCTGATGGTTTCCTCACCATCTGTGCCATTTGATGCTAAGGCCATCCCTGAATTTTTCTAATAGTCACCTATAGTCCTCCCAGAACACCAGATGTGCCTTCAGACCAAACCCTCTCCTGGCTTTGGGATGAAGTTGGGTGGGAAGTACTCAAAGCCTGCCTCATCCCAAATCTTTCCCTACCCCCTTCCCCACCCCTACCTTCACCCCAGCCTCTTTGTCCACTTTAACCCTCCAAAGCCCTATGTGAGTTGTTCTTTTACATTAAAGCGTTGTCCCTTCAAGAAGCACTCAGCTGCTGGTCTTCCACTCCCAATTTCAAACACCAGCTAGACTACGTATCCACTCCTCACGGCCCCTTTACACCATCTCAACCTCCAACCTAGGCTCAAATCACGCTCCATCACACACGCAAGAAAAATCCCTTCAGTGATCAGCTGGTATCAATTCAAATTCCTCAACCTCCCACCGCCCAGCCCTCAGTCTCCAGGGGATGCTTCCTGTCACTAACCCTCAGCCCCCTGCCACATTTCATAGCTGCAGCCAGTGGCAAGTGGGAGCTGAAAGGAGCCCAGCCGGCCCAGGTGTGAGGCTTCCCGAAAGGTATGTTGGCTCTGTAGTTCCAATTCAGTCTAGACTTTGGTTTCTTAAACCACAAAACTGGCTGAGGGGAGAGGGAAGCATAGCAACCTCTGGTTCTGGAACTCAGCTGCCAGAGTCACCTGGAAGACCCATTGAGACACACGAGTGCTGGGCGGGGCCTGGGAGTGGGCATGCCTACCGGGCTCCCAAGGGATGCCAGTGCTGCTGGTCAGGGACCACACTTTTGGGAGCCACGGTACTAACTGATCTGTAATACCTCTTCCAGTCTTGAAATTGTATCTTTTCAATTCCCTCAAATAACTATTCTATTATCAGAGAGCTGACAAGAGAAACTTCACCCGTCTCACTTCCACCTAAATCGAATGGTTTTCCATATTTTCATTTCTTTCCCCCGGCTGGATTGCCAATTCTTATTCAGTTCATGTAGTTCATGTAGCATCCCTAACAGTGCTAGACGTTCCAGAGGCAATCCACCCATCTTTTAATGGATTAACCCTGCAAGACGAAGGTTTCCGCAGAAGACAGATCAGAATTCAGAGCAAGATAAGGCCCAGGAAGGATGCGATCAGAAGCCACTCAGCCGGAGGGACTCCTTTGATAGCTTCTGGGTAAAGAATCCAATAAACGTGACGCTTTCGGACTACCAGTTATCTGCTCCTACCTCGTGTAGTTGTGGCATTTTTCCCAATTGTATTTGGTTTTTTTAAGCTTCAAGGTTTTAAATATACAGTGTCTGCTGCCACCTGGTGGTATTTTCTAACAGATACAGGCCATGAAATAGACCTTCCGTGGTCCCTAAATTTCTTAGCTCCCTGGGTAAAGCATGAGTCTATATCAAGATTCCTGGATAACTGAATTTTCAAGAAAATGCTCAATCTGCCTCTTGAAATTTTGAAGCAAATAGTGTGGTCACAATTAAGAGCTAGAGTTGGATTCAGGCTAAATACTCCATCCTGATATTTAATAGTTCTGCAACATTTCTCCATGACTGAACTTTTAAACTCAAATTCTTCTTCTGTGAAATGTGGAGATTGATGGTACCACTGTTCCAGTGGTGAGGATTCAACAGGATGATGCATGTAAATGCTTGAAACAATGCCTGGCCCTTAGGAATAAGCCCTTGATGTATCTTTAGTTGACGTGAAGATGATGATGTTGTAAATCAGTTGTTCTCAGCTCCAGACCAAGGAAGTCAGAAGGCCCAGACATGCAAGCCCACTCTCCAGAGATTCTGATTTAATTGGTCCCAGAGTAGGAGAGTGGGAAGAGGCAGGTAGTTAGCTAACAGGGCATCAAGATGTTCTCAAAACATGCATAGTATGTACATATATATAGTAAAAGTATATACACATACTCATAAAATTACTTTTGGCTTATGTGTTACTAAATTCTGTGAAAATATATAAAATCGTCTATTGAAATAGCAGATTTTACCTTGCCACCTCCTAAATTGTTTTACATATGATAAAACGTACTTGCTGACATTTTCCAAAGTTGAGATGATCCACTGTTTTATTCTGTCTTTATCATCTCCCACTAAAACAGCATATACATAAACATCTTATGCAGCCAGGAACTCTTCAACCAGAGCATATTCTGGTCTGAAAAGTCTTTGGGGAGAAGACAGTTAAGCTGGCATTTTATTTATCAGGCCACACTATGGTCTTTAGGTAGACTTAGAAACAAATCCCAAACTCTGAACTCTAAATCCTCACGCGACATATTTCTTCAACTATTGTGGTATCTGGTTTGGCAACAACTTTGTTTTTTAAACTAGCTTTTTAAATTAAATTCGAATGCAATTTTTAAAAATTTTATGAGGAGAGAATTTCTGTGCCTCGGCCAATGGCCCACTGATTTAAATCCACATTCCATACAACACAGTTCTAATGTGATAGCAGCATTGCAATCGTCCTTATTGAATTATACACGTTACATGGGTGAACTTTGCGGTACGTAAATTATCTCACTAAGGCTGTTAAAAATATATTTTTTAAAGCTCATCTTAAACGGGAGCAATTCATAATCTCCATACACAACAAAAAGATGTTTTCCTAACTGATGGCTCCTTTATTTCTAGATTCCGGGGCAGGGGGAGGAACAGGGTCGCAGTGGAATCTTGCCCGCGTGGCTCCCTTGCCAGTGGGAACCGCCTCATCCAGGCTGTCAAACTCTGTGCTCTTCCCACAGGAGGACTACAACCAGCTGAGGCCTCTCTCCTACCCCAACACGGATGTGTTCTTGATCTGCTTCTCAGTGGTAAATCCTGCCTCTTACCACAACGTCCAGGAGGAGTGGGTCCCGGAGCTGAAGGACTGCATGCCTCACGTGCCTTACGTCCTCATAGGGACCCAGGTAAAATGAAAGGCGGGTGGTG